TTCTTTATCTATACTCCTCATTATTTCATAAATGTCTATAAGGTCATCCGTCAATCTCCAACGTTCCAGTGAAAAAAGTCCCAGCCTATCCAGGTTCTCCTTATAACTCAAACCCTTCATTCCTGGCAACATCCTGGTAAATCTTTTCTGAACCTTCTCTCGCTTAATAATATCTTTCATATAACGGGGTGACCAGAACTGGAAATGCTACTCCAGAACAGGCCTCAACAAAACTTCCCAACTCCTACACTCAAAGGACTGAGCAATGAAGGCAAGCATGCTGAACACCTTCTTAGCCACCTCATCTCAATGTGATGCAAACTTCAAAGAATTATGTACGTGAACCCCTAGGTCTCTCTGTTCTACAGCACTGGCTGTCCTGAAATGCAATTAGATTATTCCTGCTATTCCCCACACTTCCCAGATATCCATGAATATTTGTTTCCTTCATCAATTTCATACTGGGAGCTACTATTGAATATGTTTCCACAACTCAGAGTGCATTCCAAATTCCAGCTACTTATTCATATTTTTTTTTAAAGAAACGTTCCTCATATCTCCATATGTCTATCCTGTTCTCTTATTTCTATTGGAGTGCTGTGATGCATTTTAATGTACATGTATTACTGTGATTTTAAAACAATTAAACTCCCAGTTGAAAAATTGGTTGAAAAATCATTAAAATAAGAATGATATGCATGATTCCCATGAATATTATTCTAACATTTACAGTAGTGTGATACTGCTACTTTTTATGGTTACTGAAGACTTTTTTCCAATTGTCTTTGCCCTCAATTTATTATATTAGCAGCATTGTGTAATTCATCTGGAATGTGTATTGCTGTGGTTCTAATTTATTGCTTGAATGAAGCAAGTTCTTTGTACAATAACTAATATCTGCATGAGCGCAACCTTTAGCATTTGATGCTGGAAAATACTGGATTAATGTGTGAGGCAGAGATGAGGAACAAATGGGAAGTGATGGCAGTTGTGTAATCCGCAATGAACAGCCAGAAGTTATGCATTCTAGTCATAATCAAGACTGTACTTTTATCATTGGAATTATACTGATCCTATGATAGAATCATAGAATCCCTACAGTATGGGAACAGGCCCTTCAGCCCAACCAGTCCACACCAAACCTCAAAGCATCCCACCCAGACCCACCCCGCTATAACCCACCTAATCTACACATCCTTGAACACTATGGGCAATTTAGCATGGCTAATCCACCGAACCTGCACATCTTTGGACTGTGGGAGGAAACCAGAGCACCCGGAGAAAACCCGCACAGACACGCGGAGAATATGCCAACTCCACATAGACTGTCACCCGAGGGTGGAATCAAACCCAGGTCCCTGGCGCTGTGAGGCAGCAATGCTAACCACTGAGCCACCGTGATTTCACATCAAAGCAGGTATCCAAGCAATAAACTTGTTGTCAGTGTGAAGCATTTTCCCTTCTCCCCAGTGCAAACTCGCTTTGTCTTCTGGGTGATATCCTGCATTCTGACAACTACGGAGTGGGCTGGATTTTACCTCCACCAGGGGGTGTGAGGTGACCATGTAAAACATGACTGTGTGGCAAGCCCATCAATTCTAATCCACCTCTGACCCACTCCCTATAAGATAGTGGGTGGATGAGTGCCAACCTGGGTAACCAGCCTGCCACTTTTAATCAGTGGGCACTGAAGCTTATCACTGAGTCTGTTGACCCATATTTTATACTGCCCATGACACAAAGCGGTGGTATGGGCAGGTGAGCGGATGTGAGGAGCTCACTTTTGGAAATAAATATATTATTTGCAAAGGCTTGAAAAGAAAGGGGCTGGGAGAGTTGGTGAGCCTTTGCCCATCTTTTTGTCATGTCCCTTCCTTTTAGTTCCTCTCCAACCGGCCTCCAGAACCTACACCACCCAAATACCCACCCTTTTCCTCTGTCACTCACTTGCCCCACTTCTCTCCCCTTCCCTCCCCTACCCAAAGGTTGCTAGCCAATTGGGTTGTTCAGAAGCTCTTGAGGGTGGGGCCTCCTCACTATGGGTTGAGCTTGTTTTGAGTCCATTGGCTGTTGCCCACCCTGCTTAAAAACAAAGGGCCTGCCAACTTTCAGCAGGAATGTCCTTACCAAGGTTTTGTGGATTCAGCACTGCACCTTCAAAACCGCCCCCTCCAATCAAAGTTGGAAGGAGTTGGAATGGGATTGCTGGCTGATTACCCAGAGGTCAGTTCAGAGACAACCACATTGCTGTGAGTCTGGAGATGCGTGCAGGCCAGAGGAGGTTAGGGTGGCAGATTTCCCTCCCTAAAGGGCATTAGTGAACTAGATAGGTTTTTCCCAACAATCAACAACAGCTCCATGGTCTTCGTTCAATTCCTAAATCCAGAATTTTATTTCTAAATTAAGTTGAAACTCCACAATCTGCAATGGTAGGATTTGAACCCCGACATTAGCTGGGTCTCTGCATTAATAGGGCTAGAATAATACCACTGCAACATCACTTCCCCCATGAGAGTTAGAGGTGCAACCAGCTTTAAACAAGCATGGAAATGGAAAACAGTGGGTAGGAAGAATTAGAGGACAGGTGTGGAATTCAGGAGAGAATGAATAATTAATAAAAGTGATGATGTCGTGCAAGTCAAGATGTAATATTACTAAGAGAAGTGAAGGGACAAAAGATGGATTAGAATGGGTGTGAATGACAAATTAAGATTTTTAACAATGGTTGCTGTCCAAAAACATTGGGATGGAGGCTATGACCTGAAGTCATTGAGTGCAGATCGGTATAAAGTTCCTGATCGAAAGATGAGTTACCCTCCCTGAAGTGTCCATTCAGCTTCATTGAAATGGTGTTGGAGACTGAGAACAGAGGCAGAGAATGTAGATGGTGACTGGAAGCTCAGTCATGTTTGCGGACTGAACAGAGGTTTTCAGTGAAGCAGTCCCCAAACTACATTGCCTGTCCTGAACATCGGAGAGACTGCATAAGGAACAAGGAGTGCAGGTCTAAATTGCAAGTAGCAAAAATTTGCTGTTTCACTTGGCAGGGAATATCTGGGGCTTGAGACAGTGAGAAGTTAGAAGAGGTTTCTTGTAATCTTGCTCGCTTTGCATGGGTCAGTGTCAGCTAGCCTTACCTGGAAAAGGTGATATGGCTTTCCAGCTGATAGGCAAGATCCTTAACAGGTCAACAAGAATCAACCACATTGCTGTGAGTCTGGAGTTGCATGCGGGCCAAACCAGGTTAGGGTGGGTTGCTCTTGTTGCGTCTCATTGCAGTGATCTTGAGTGGGATTAGCAGAATAAAGAGGATGTAGATGTGATGCTTTAAGAATAGCCAGAGAACGACATTTTTTTCCCCCTAACCCTATAGTGATTGTAATGAGGTCACCCAAGTGGACCTTATAGAATATGAGTTCCTTGAATGTTTTTTCTCCCCTTTATTCCTTTGTGGGATGAGGGTGTTGCTGGCTAGACAGCATTTATTGCCCATCCGTAATTTCCCAGGAGGGCAGTTAAGAGTCAACCACATTGCTGTGGGTCTGGAGTCACATGTAGGCCAGACCAGGTAAGGATGGCAGTTTCCTCCCCTAAAGGACATTAGTGAACCAGATGGGCTTTTCCAACATTTGACAATGGACTCACGGTCATCATTAGACTCTTCATTCCAGATATTTTTATTGAATTCAAATTTCACCATCTGCCATGGTGGGATTTGAACCCGGGTGTCCAGAATATTTTCTGGGTCTCTGGATTGACAATCCGGCGATAATACCACTAGGCCATCGCCTCCCCCAGGCTGTTAATGGGGCTGATAATATGGTCCATTTAGGGAGCACTTGCTGACAGATGAAAACAGGAGTTTCAGACGTTTTGGTCACTGACAGCTGGCTCTGAGGAAGCTAGATCAGTGTCAAGGACTCTCCACATGTAAATAAAGGGTGACTTGGTGACAGGAAACGGGCCTCTTTTGGAGTAATTTCAACCCCCCATCTCCAAACTGTTCTCTAATAGTTTCAGAGATAGCAGGAACTGCAGATGCTGGAGAATCTGAGATAACAAGGTGGAGAGCTGGATGAACACAGCAGGCCAAGCAGCATCA